ACACCCCTCCATTAATTCCCAGTGAGCTCCTCCCCTTTTCATTATTTTCATAGGGCTTGTGGGGGCCACCTTAGTTGCCATTCCATTTCCAGGTACCACGGTAGCTATTACACAGGTGCTGGCCTCCTAGTTGAGAATTTGCATTCCCATACACATCTTCCCCCCCAGGGCCAGCCTTTGGAAGCCATCCCCCACCCACATCATGAGGTTTTCTGTTCATTAAAACACAACAATGCTAGCAACAAGACAAACACCACAGACAAACACAAAACATAGATCCATGGTATTCTGGGTTATTTTTCCCGCTGGCGCCAGCTTGCTTGTAGAGTGTCTGAAAAACAAAAGAAACAATTTCCTTCCCCATGGTGGGGACAGATTATTGCTTAATAATAATAGCACTTTCTTTTACAAATGTCCTTGCTACTTGCAGGAAAAACAGAAGAATTACCTCCAGACTGTCCTTATTTTGTTCTATAGTCGGGCTAGTGAATTACCTCATTCACTGGTCATTTATGAAATTCATGAGATGGTGTACCTCAGTTTCCCCTCTTGTACAACAGACCAAGTTTGCAATAGTTTCTCTGCTGTACCAAGCTTTAAGTTTATTCTCAGGTAATAGCTGCAACACAGCTTCAGATTTTAGCACTGTACACACACACCCCTTAAGGTTAACCTGTCCCCCTTATTTTCAGGCTTGACTTGTTTTTTTCACCTCCCTTTCCTGAAGGGCCATAATCTGAGTCTTCTAGTAGCTTGTTTGCTGACCAGATGTATTCAGTTATTTGCAGCTCCTTTGTGCCCATCAGCTAGGTAATTTGCATTTACACACAGAGGCTTACTAGCTTGCTTTTGGATCCAAAGCTGTTAGCAGCTCAGACACTGTCTTAAAAGGGAAGCGTTTTACTTCCACCAGAGTTCTGATTACTTTCCACTTTCATCTCCTGCTCCAAAACACAGCGATCTGAAAAAGAAAGCACAACCTATTGTGGCTCCTTTTGGAGCCCTATTAGGATTTTAATGAAGTACCATGTTTTATTTGCATTTCTTTTACTCCTTTTCCAATATACACTGCACATGTCCTGGGAAAATGCAAATTCCTTCCATATAGTTTAACCTCCATAACATCATATTAGCCAAATTAATTTTACACAAGGTATAACTGCCTCCTCCATGCCTACAGAGTTTTCATGCAGAACCCACCAAAGCAACAATCTAATCCCCCAGAGCCATCCCAAGGCTCAGTGTTCCCATCATTCCTCCCCTTTTCCTTTTCTTTTACCTGTGCGCACACACACAAAATTCTGTTTTGCCTAACATCCCTTGCACTGTGATTACTCTTTTTTACACAACTGTACCCCAATTACACTTCCATCTTGTACAACTAGACACAACTAGGGGCAGCCAAGTTAAATTCCAAAAGAAACCTCTTCCATCCTTTAGTGATTTTGACATTACCCAATAGTCAAATAATTTTGCTCAGATTCTCTCTCTGCCTGCTGCCTGCAGCAGTCCCTTATAGACCATTTCTGTGGGAAAAGGGCCCATTTTCCCTCAGAATAGCTATAAAGGCTTCTGGGGACAGAAGCGTAGTGGTGATAGTAGCCACTCTACCTGACCCCCTTGGATAATTTAATGACCAAGCTTCCATCCAATGTGACTGCACAGAGTTGCACATACAGTGACATTTATATAACTGGGTTTTATCATTAAACAAAAACTTCCTTCTTGACATCTCACATAAGTATCCAAAGTACCCTCCATTAAAACTTCAGAAAAACAAAAGAGTGTGGAAAGGCAGGTTGCACTTTGAAACTTTTATTTTTTTTTTCCTCCACTCCCCCAGGACCAAGTCTCAGATCCAGTCTCTAAAGGTGGTCTGTTAACTCTGTTTTGACCTTAAACCCTTTTGTGCCAAATCATCTTTCACTACCCCTAACTAATTTACAACCCTTCAGCAGCCCTTGCTGAAGCAGCACCAAACTTGAAAGATTACTGGCAGCTTCCCATAATGCTGCCCTTACTTCAAACCTCTCAAGCAGACTGAAGTGCCTCTTTTCCCTGGGAGGTATTCAGTCCCCATGGGCAGGGACCTTCTTCCACTACCCATATACCAAGGAGGGTGGGCTCCTCAGCCACCCCCCATACCTCTGGGTCCCCTAACACTTCCTCCATTTCCTTTTTAATCTTATCCCAGGTTGACCCCTGTACCTGGTATGGGCCCTGGTCCTCCCTTATCCATTTATCCAAAAAATCCTTTACCCTGGCTTGCCAGAACCCGCAACTACCATCACGAGAGTTCGCGATACCCCCCTCCAAGCAGCTGCGCAGACTGTTGGGGAGGGGGACTTACAGGCTGCCACTCACCTATCCAATGCGATGCATCCGAGTCACCGGCATCAAGATGTTAGGGGGCTTATTCCTTCACCCACTTACTTCCCTGGTCCTTCTCGCATGAACAGAGAGCAACAATACCCGAAGTCCAAAGGTGCAAACAATTCGATGTTTATTGGGGTGAACTTCCAGCAAGCATGATTCCAGTTTCCTTCCTTAGTGTCCTCCTTCCCAGCTCTGACACCACAGAGCCTTACACCTGTGTCCCTGTTCCCATTCCTGCCCTTAGCCAAACATGATTCCAACTTCCTTACTCCCATTCCCTGTTCCCATTTCCCCCTTTAGCAAAACATGATTCCAATTTTCTTACCCCCATTCCCTGTTCCCATCTCCCCCACCCACATGCCCACCCCTCCACCCCCCTTTACTTCCTCATTGACTATAGATTATATAGTAAAACTTGAGTTCTGCTTAGCTATACCTTAACCAATCATTTTCCTGAAATTTAACTAACCTATCCTAACATATTGTAACATGATTATGTAACCAATTATATCCCACCACCTCAATTAGTTTACACCCAGCAAAATTAATTATACAGCAGACAGGAACAATCACAGAACCAGACAGAGATTATACAGACAAACAACAGCAAAGTGGGAACTATAATGACAAAACAATACAGAAGTGAGGATTTCACATCCCAGCTATTGATAAGTGAGTTCTTGCCAGACAGGATGCTATCAAACTAAGTTTCCTTTTACATTTTCTAGGCACTTCCCTTTCTCTGGAGGTGATAGGAATACAATCCTGTCCTGATAGTGCCTAACAGCCCAATAGCACCTTATTTCAATGTGACTAGTTTGGAATGTGAGGAGGTGACCGGTCGCTTCCCAGCTTATGGCTGCCTCTGCTGCTTAGCCAAAGGCCTGAGCCTAAGCACAGGGCCACAAACTGTCACAGTAAGAGAAGGCCCTTACACTGGCAGACAGTGGTTTTGATTCTTTCTTTTATACCTCTATCACTAGCCAAGTGATAAGAATACACCTAAATTCTTAGAGTATAGGCCTTTACAGACAGGCCTGAATATCTATATCCTAACAGTGTGGCTGATGTTCTTAGGCCCTGTGATGGTGTCCCCTGAATAGATATGTGGGCACAGTTGGCAACGGGCTTTGTTGCAAGGATCGGTTCCTGGGTTAGTGGTTCTGTTGCGTGGTATGTGGTGGCTGGTGAGTATTTGCTTCAGGTTGGGGGGCTGTCTGTAGGCAAGGACTGGCCTGTCTCCCAAGATTTGTGAGAGTGTTGGGTCATCTTTCAGGATAGGTTGTAGATCCTTAATAATGCGTTGGAGGGGTTTTACTTGGGGGCTGAAGGTGAAGGCTAGTGGCGTTCTGTTATTTTCTTTGTTAGGCCTGTCCTGTAGTAGGTGACTTCTGGGAACTCTTCTGGTTCTGTCAATCTGTTTCTTCACTTCCGCAGGTGGGTATTGTAGTTGTAAGAAAGCTTGATAGAGATCTTGTAGGTGTCTTTCTCTGTCTGAGGGGTTGGAGCAAATGCGGTTGTATCGCAGAGCTTGGCTGTAGACAATGGATCGTGTGGTGTGGTCGGGGTGAAAGCTGGAGGCATGTAGGTAGGAATAGCGGTCAGTAGGTTTCTGGTATAGGGTGGTGTTTATGTGACCATCGTTTATTAGCACTGTAGTGTCCAGGAAGTGGATCTCTTGTGTGGACTGGACCAGGCTGAGGTTGATGGTGGGATGGAAATTGTTGAAATCATGGTGGAATTCCTCAAGGGCTTCTTTTCCATGGGTCCAGATGATGAAGATGTCATCAATATAACGCAAGTAGAGTAGAGGCATTAGGGGACGAGAGCTGAGGAAGCGTTGTTCTAAATCAGCCATAAAAATGTTGGCATACTGTGGGGCCATGCGGGTACCCATAGCAGTGCCGCTGATTTGAAGGTATACATTGTCCCCAAATGTGAAATAGTTATGGGTGAGGACAAAGTCACAAAGTTCAGCCACCAGGTTAGCCGTGACATTATCGGGGATAGTGTTCTTGACGGCTTGTAGTCAACCCTGACCCCGCTCAGTTCAGTCTCGAAGGGGGAAGAGATGTGACGATGTGACTCAGCAGGGAGGGGGGAGTGTTGACCTGGGAATGTGCCCTGGGGATGGGAGACCTGAGAGCCTGTCACCTGAGCCAGGAGGGGGAGGGGGAGGTAACACCTCTGCCCAGGAATGTGGACGAAGGCTGGAGCAGGGAACCTGCTGGGTGGGTTTAGTTTCAGTTTGGGGCTGGGGAGAGGAACACAGGGAACCCCAGGGCTGGGGTCTAAGCTCCCTGCTCCCCCAGAAGGACATGATTGAGGGGTCCTGGTTGTACCCACAAGCTCTGTTGTGGACTGTGTTCCTGTTGTCCAATAAACCTTCTGTTTTACTGGCTGGCTGAGAGTCTCAGTGGATCCCAGGAAGAGGGGTTCAGGGCCTGGACTCCCCCACACTCCGTGACACCCCCACAGAACCCCTTTTGGGGTCGGTGAAATTTTTTTTTTCAGACTTCCAGGGTCCCGATCCCTGGCCACGGCGTCGCAGGCTGGCCTGGGGGACTTGTCTGGCGGGGGCAGGCTCCGGGTTGACATGGTGCCCGGACGTGTATGAAGCACGGAGCCCGTGGCAGGGGAACCCGGGCGCAGTGGGGTCCGCCCGGCCCCAGCCCGCGGGGGCAGGCTCCGGGTTGACCTGGTGTCCGGACGGGAAGGAAGCCCCGAGCCCGGGGCAGGGGGACCCGGACGGAGCGGGGTCCGTCCGGCCCCAGCACGCGGTGCAGGCTCCGGGTTGACCTGGTGACTCCCCTGCCTCGGGTGGCCCCGATCCTTTTTTCCGTTTTTTTTTTTTTTTTTTTGGCCGGAGAGTGGTCGGGATGCCCCCCGGCACCCCGTTTGGGGTCGGTGAAAAAAATTTCAGACTTCCAGGGACCTGATCCCTGGCCGCGGCGTTTCAGGCTGGCCTGGGGGACTTGTCTGGCGGGGGAGGCTCCGGGTTGACCTGGTGTCCGGACGGGAAGGAAGCCCCGAGCCCGTGGCAGGGGGACAAGGACGGAGCGGGGTCCGTCCGGCCCCAGTCCGCGGTGCAGGCTCCGGGTTGACCTGGTGTCCGGATGGGAAGGAAGCCCCGACCCCGTGGCAGGGGGACCCGGACGGAGCGGGGTCCGTCCGGCCCCAGCACGCGGAGCAGGCTCCGGGTTGACCTGGTGACTCCCCTGCCTCGGGTGGCCCCGATCCTTTTTTCCGTTTTTTTTTTTTCCTTTTTTGGCCAGAGAGTGGTTGGGATGCCCCCCCCCCGCCACTCCGTTTGGGGTCGGTGAAAAAAAAAATTCAGACTTCCAGGGACCTGATCCCTGGCTGCGGCGTTTCAGGCTGGCCTGGGGGACTTTTCTGGCACAGGCTCCGGGTTGACCCGGTGACTCCCCTGCCTCGGGTGGGCCCGATCTTTTTTTCCGCTTTTTTTTGGGTCCGGAGAGTGGTCTGGATGCCCCCCCAGAACCCCTTTTGGGGTCGGCGAAATATTTTTTTTCAGACTTCCAGGGTCCCGATCCCTGGCCACGGCGTCGCAGGCTGGCCTGGGGGACTTGTCTGGCGGGGGCAGGCTCCGGGTTGACCTGGTGTCCGGACGGGAATGAAGCCCCGAGCCCGGGGCAGGGGGACCCGGACGGAGCGGGGTCCGTCCGGCCCCAGCCCGCGGTGCAGGCTCCGGGTTGACCTGGTGTCCGGACGGGAAGGAAGCCCCGAGCCCGGTGTAGGGGGACACGGGCGGAGCGGGGTCCGTCCGGCCCCAGTCCGCGGTGCAGGCTCCGGGTTGACCTGGTGACTCCCCTGCCTCGGGTGGCCCCGATCCTTTTTTCCGTTTTTTTTTTTTTTTCCTTTTTTGGCCGGAGAGTGGTCGGGATGCCCCCCCCCCGGCACCCCTTTTGGGGTCGGTGAAAAAAATTTTCAGACTTCCAGGGGCCCGATCCCTGGCCACGGCGTTTCAGGCTGGCCGGCGGGACTTCTCTGGCACAGGCTCCGGGTTGACCCGGTGACTCCCCTGCCTCGGGTGGGCCCGATCCTTTTTTCCGTTTTTTTTCCTTTTCGGCCGGAGAGTGTTCTGGATGCCCCCCCAGCACCCCTTTGGTGGTCGGTGAAAATTTTTTTTCCGACTTCCAGGGGCCCGATCCCTGGCCGCGGCGTCGCAGGCTGGCCTGGGGGAGTTCTCTGGCGGGGAGGCTCCGGGTTGACCTCGTGACAACCCTGCCTCGGGTGGGCCCGATCCTTGTTTTCCGGGTTTTTTTTTTTTGGTCCGGAGAGTGGTCTGGATGCCCCCCCGGCACCCCTTTGGTGGTCGGTGAAAATTTTTTTTCCGACTTCCAGGGGCCCGATCCCTGGCCGCGGCGTCGCAGGCTGGCCTGGTGGCCTTCTCTCATTCCGGCCGCGGATGGCGAGACGCTCGGCCACCAGGTCAACCCGGAGGAAAAACGGCTGAAAAAATTTCTAAGTTCGTGCTCGGCCACCAGGTCAACCCGGAGGAAAAACGGCTGAAAAAATTTCTAAGTCCCTGCTCGGCCACCAGGTCAACCCCATTCAAAGTAACGGGTTGACCTGGTGGCCGGCAGTCTCACGGAAGTCCGGATGGGGTCGCCAAAACTCCCCTCGGCCGACCGAGGGAACCACGAGGTCGGATAGATTTTCAGATTGGTCCCGCTAAAGCGGCGGTTGGATTTTTCACCTAGTTCATTCCGACGGGTGTGCGGAGATTTCTGAGGACAGGTTTTTCAGAACCTGTGAGAACCAGAGATGAGCCCGGGGACCAATCTGAGTGTTGTACCCGATCTTGCGAGGGGGGAATGGGGCACGTTGGCAGGTGGGGCGGCCCTCGGCCCTCCGTGCCCCCCCCCCTTTCCCGGCTCTAAGCCTCCGGGGACCCCGTCGTCCCCTCGCACCCCCGGCGCAGGCCCGGTGGCCGGGATGCGAACTCCGACTGTCGGCGCCCCCGGAGGGGAGGGGGGCCCGCTCCCCGCTCGCCTTCCGATCGATGTGGCGCTCACCTTCGCGGACGGGAAGGGCCCTTCGCGGGCCGGAGCCCCGGCGGCAGGGGCCTCCGGCGTTCAGGCGGATTTGGGTCCCTCTTCCCCTTTGCGTTCTCCCCGACCCCGGGGCCGATTGGGACTTGCCTCCTTGGGGAAAAGGGGGCCGGGCGCGGGCCCGGCCCTCCGTGCCGTGGGTGTGCCGGCCGGCTGAGATCTCCGCCGCGTGAGGTCGAGCGGCTCCGGCAGCCCACCCAGTGGTCCGAAAACCCAGGCCAGCCGCGAGGCTCAGCAGGGCCAAACACGGTCGCGAGAGCGAGCAGGGGCGCGCTGCGGTCCCCTCGCCGTACCCGACGGTCCTTCTCCACGCATGCTCCAGGGCGCGGGCCTTGGGGGGGGCCGGAGCCTCCGTCGCCATCGGTGGGACCCTCGTACCGCCCTCTCGCTGGAGCCCCAGTACCCCCTGCTGTCCTCCGGCTCTGGGTCGCCGACTTCTTCTCTAGCGGTTTGCCTGGAAGGCGGGCGCGGCGTCCTCCGTGCCGCGTCGCCACGTTCGAGGGCCACCGGGAAAAGCAGGGCGAAGGGGGGCTCGAGGGGGCCTGCCCTGTCTGGCTCCCACCGTCCTTCTTCGGTGTCCGCCTGGGGCACCGGGGGAAGAAAAGCAGCGAGAGGGCCCCCGTGCCCGCTCTACTGCCGGACTCCCCCGGGGTGTCACCCGGAGCACCAGGGAATGCGGGGGCAGAGAGAGAGAGGGGTTTCGGGGGAGGTGTGTGTGTGTGTGTTGGGGGGGGTCTTGACGGCCCCTCTCGCGCGCCCTGCCTCTCTCCGTCTCTCTCTCTCGCTCTCCCCCGCCGGCTTCGACCCTAGCCCCCCGCGGGGGTGTAACCCGGGCCGCCTGCGAAAGCGGGGAGAAGGGGGGCTCTCTTCGGAGGCTCACCCCATCACAAATCTCCCATCTGGGAGAAAGCGTGCGGAAGGGCGACGGAAAGTCGGGGAGAGAGAGAGAGAGAGAGAGTGAGAAGGAGGAGCGGGCGGCACGCGCGCGCGACGGTGGAAGACGACCAAGGAGAGAGAGGGTTCGTTCGTCAGGGCGCCCAGGATCGGAACCCTCCCTTCCGTCTCCTCCGTCCGCCGCCTCTGCCGGTCGTTCCCACCCCCGCTCTCTCAGCCCTCTCCCCGGCCCACGACGCTCCCCGCACACGCTCCCGGCGCCGTCCTTGCCCCCCCCCTACGCTCCGCTCGCCCCGGTGGCCCCCCCGGGGTGCTCCGTCGCTCTCCTCCGCTGGGCCGTTCTTCCCCAAGCTGGTCGGATCGGGCCTCCTCCGGGGCCGAAGCTCTCCCGCGGCGTGGCGCTGGGGGGCGGCGGGCGTCCGCCGCCTCCCCCCCGCCCGGTCCTCCCCATCCGACTGCGACCTTAGATCAGACGTGGCGACCCGCTGAATTTAAGCATATTAGTCAGCGGAGGAAAAGAAACTAACCAGGATTCCCTCAGTAACGGCGAGTGAATGTGAAAATCTTCAAATCCAGACTCCAGCGAGAGACTGTTGAATTGAAATTCATTTGCAAATTGGATACAATTAACTTAGGCTTGAATAGAAACTGGGAGTGGCTAAGTCATTATGCAAGGTAACCTATTTCCCTTTTTTTTTCCTAACCCCGCCCCCCTCCTCAGACGTTCTTGTTAAACCCTGGATTTGTGCTGGAAATGGCCCACCCTGATTATCATACACATTGTAAGGAGAGTGGTCACTTTAGATAAGCTATTACCAGCAGGAGAGTGGGGTGGGGGAGGTATTTTTTCATGCTTTGTGTGTATAAAAAGATCTTCTACACTTTCCACAGTATGCATCCGATGAAGTGAGCTGTAGCTCACGAAAGCTTATGCTCAAATATATTGGTTAGTCTAAGGTGCCACAAGTACTCCTTTTCTTTTTGCGAATACAGACTAACACGGCTGTTAGTCTGAAACTTTCTCAGTGCACCTTCTTAGCCCTGGCTTTGGGTGCTTTGAAGTTGGCTCTCCAGTCTTGATTTTAGGTGGGATCTTGACCACCTTCTGGGGCTTGGCAGATTACACCTTTTGAGGGCTATTCTCTGCCTTTTTGGTCCCCCCTGCAGTCACCACATTCTGATGATTATTCCTAGACATGGGCGTGGTGGCCTTCTTGGGGATCTTGGCAGCTTTAGCCAGCTTCTTGGTGGCTATATTCCTGCTCAGAGCCACTGTCTTCTTCTCATGCCATGTCCTTGTCCTAGCTGCTGGTTGAATGTGAAGGAGCCAAGGTGCTGGTGACTTTAGCCTGCACCAAGTTGCCTTTGCTCATCAGACTCCTGAACCCCAACTGGATGTGGTTCTTGTTCTTCTGCACAGCAAAGCTGTTAGGGGGCTTATTCCTTCACCCACTTCCTTCCCTGGTCCTTCTCGCATGAACAGAGAGCAACAATACCCCAAGTCCAAAGGTGCAAACAATTCGATGTTTATTGGGGTGAACTTCCAGCAAGCATGATTCCAGTTTCCTTCCTTAGTGTCCCCCTTCCCAGCTCTGACACCATAGAGCCTTACACCTTTGTCCCTGTTCCCATTTCCCCCTTTAGCTAAATATGATTCCAATTTCCCCACTCGGGAGTTCTGCTTAGCTGTACCTCAACCAATCATTTTCCTGAAATTTAACTAACCAATCCTAACATATTGTAACATGATTATTTAACCAATTATATCCCACCACCTTAATTAGTTTACACCCAGCAAAATTAATTATACAGCAGACAGGAACAATCACAGAACTAGACAGAGATGATACAGACAAACAATAGGGAAATGGGGACTACAGTGATAGAACAAAGACAGAAATGAGGATTTCACATCCCAGCTATTGATAAGTCAGTTCTTGCCAGACAGGATGCTATCAAACCAAGCCTCCTTTTACATCTCTTAGGCGCTTCCCTTT